GGAATATCCGAGGAACATGTCGGCTTCATTATTGAACAATTGGGATACCATAAAATCTGTGCACGATGGGTACCATGCCGTCTCACAGACGAGAACAAACAGCGTCAATTGGAATGCTGCGAGCAACTTTTGCAGTGCTACCGTGACGAAGGAGATGACTTTCTTTTGAATATTGTGACGGGGGATGAGTCATGGGTCCATCGTTACAACCCGGAAGAGAAAAGACAGAGCGCTGAATATCGACATCTGTCTTCTCCTCAGGCGAAAGTGTTCAAAACACAACCATCCGCCAAAAAAATTCTTTTGACTGTGTTTTGGGATGCTCACCAAGTTTAAGTGACCGATTTTCTGGAACGAGCGGCAACGGTAAATTCTTCTCAGCACATACAGACTCTAAAATACCTCTGGCGTCGAGTTTGTCGTGTTAGAGGCAGCCTGGCGCCAATAATCTTGCAACATGACAACGCTCGTCCACACACCTCGCGCGCAACTGAAGAGGCTCTGCGAAACCTGAAGTTTGAACCGATTCCACACCCTCCTTATTCCCCCTATCTTGCGCCTCGCGATTTTATTTTTTCCCTCTACTCAAGAGAGACCTCAAGGGTAATCATTACACCTCGGACGATGAGGTGATGGCAGCTGTCAAGTCCTGGATTCGAGAAAAGTCGGAAGAATTTTTCAGTGACGGAATGAAAAAACTTGTTACATGTTGGGAGAAATGTGTTAGCCTTAACGGTGACTATGTTGAAAAATAAATATATGCTTTTGAAACTTAAGAATTGTACTTTAAGGTACTTTTTGCCCGATCTTGCTATTTGTTTTTGTTTGCACTCTACAAGCATGTGTGCATTGCTTTTCAGCCTACCCACGTATCAAATTTTGTTTGTAAACTTCTGAACAAGACCTTAAAAAACATGGCTGCTTAACAATTTTGGACTATATTAACTAGTAAGCAGGTCGCATCTTAAGGATACTACCTTATGAAACACATTCTCTATGTCTTCAACACAGCATAACACACCTATCCATATTCCATAAATCGATGTTTCATTGCTGGTTATAAATATTTCCAGAAAGTTTTCATCCCCGCTAGTATGATCCAAAAGCTCCTGACATATGGCAACGCAAATGTGTCTCTGATCCTGTGTCAGAAGTGGTGGAACAAACTTCGAAACTACCCAACGCATTTCTAGTTTTACAGTAAGAATGTCATGACACGATGCTATAGATACATTGCACTCTTCTGCTATTTCCCACATTAGCAAATGATATGAATACATGATTTCATGAACTTGCACAACAGGAGCATTGTCATGTGACAATGAGGGCTGCCCCAAACGCATCTCATCATATGCTGACTGCCAACCATCCTTAAATCACTTAAACCATTCACAACAATGTGTATGGCTCATGCACTGATCACCATAAACGTCTTACCTAGTTTGAAGCAAAATTTAATGTTAATACACTGCTCATGAATATCAGCCACCACAAATATCACAAGACACACTCGACACGCATGTAAACAAATAGCTCTAGGGCAAGGACTAACCACAGCAGGATGATGCAGCAAAGAGGATGATAATTAGGAAGCATGCCACTAGGCAGCACAACTTACTTGACTTTGCTAAGTCATCGAGTTGGCACACTATTTCAAAAGTTCCACAACTTTCTGAACAGAGCATGTACATCATATCTTGTATAGGCAACTTTAGAGACAAAAAGTCCTGTGTATGTATGTCTGAACTTCCCACTGGAGCATGAATACTGACGTGTGCTGAAAACAGAATCTAGCAATTTTCTGATGATTATGATGTAACGGTCTGCATCATAAATGATGACACATCCTTCTTCCCTCAGTAAACTGAGTATATTACTACTACTGCTGAGTACTGTCACCACCACCACTACTACTACTGCTACTGCTACTGCTACTGCTACTGCTACTACTACACTAAGTGAGCCCACATACAAGTGACACCTATTCACAATCTAATATCCATGTCTACATCTGAAATAATTAATAAAATGTTGTCTTCTAAAACACAGTTCATCTTCCCAAAAATGAAGGATGATCAGCATTCAGATGAAGACTGACTGTCTCACTGGTGTCTGAACCAGTAATTTAGTTGAGAATTTCATTGAACTAGTGCTAAAATTATCTGAGGAAGTCAACTGCTAAAAGAAAAACATATTCTAAGTAAAAAAGAAAAAACTAATGAGATTTCCACACCTGATCTTTCCAGTAGTTCCATCAATTGTACAAGAGTCACTAACTTGCTGCAAAGCAACATCATTTGCAGTAGCTCTACAATAATGTGGTAAATTAACAAAAAATGCCATATCAGCTGGACTAGTTACATATTCTTTGGTTCCATCTGACTTCATTAACTCTGAATGATTGCAGCCTACATCCATGTGGACTGTTAGCAGTACAGCTATACATGGTGCAGACCATTTCACAGTAGATGACATGTAAAAGAGATCAGAGAAGAACTCCATCTTCTGGGATATAATGCTGTGTAGACTACTGAAAGTCAGCCAACTTTTAGGAGGAATATATCTCTTCCATCTTCAGAACTGAAGAAAAAGCTAAGCAAGAAACTAGCATGAAGCTGGCAGCAAACACAGCTCTGCCTGCTAGCAGCTGAAATGTGGAACATGAGAACAGCAGGACTACACTACTTGGCATTTAAATAATGCAATGAACATGTAAAAGCAAAACTAGGAGTACAAAGCATTGTGCGATTTCACACAATATGGAAATAACTGTAAAGATCATATGATGAAAATGCAAGCTGCAGGGACGTCAAACACAGCATGGGAGTATCAACTAAGAACACACAGGAGGCAGAACGACTAAGTTCAAAAGGTGGTAGAATAGACCATCTGACTGAAACCACAAAGCTGATGATAAATCTCTTCAAAAAACTACATGCACCATATTCATTCAAGTTGGAGGAATAATTTTTCAGTAATTAGATGCAATATTTTCTATTATGCCACAAATATGCAATAAGATACAGCGGCAGCAGGTTTCTACCATTAAAAGCAGAAGAATGACTGAAACTTGCCAATAACCTTTTACAAGTCATACAATGAGGCTTGGATTTTATTTTTATATGCCTAACTCTTAAAACCACACTTCAAATAATGTTCATTAACTTGAGCTGGTCATGTTCTTTTCAAAACTGTCAGTGATTTCAACTGCGGAACCTGTACTTACATCTGAAGATGCTGTTATATTTCTCACTTCTTTGTCTTTCTTGAATTAGTAAGAAGACAATCGATTTTTGGATAATTCAAACTTATGAGAATATTACATGCAAAAACACTGAATAATAAATGGCGAATAAATGCAAACAAAAATTGTAACAGTAATACAGCACTTTCATAGGCTACTGTGCAAAGTAACAAGTACCATCCATAAGGAAAATCAAATTAACTGTTGGTTATAAAAAAAGTGATCTGCTTACTTCATGTTCATTACACTGATTTGCTATATATTTTCATTCAATTAGTAAACTAAAGATATATAATTATTCATACAAAACTACTTAAAAGACAAAATTCAACAATCATTCCACTAACAACCCTACCAGTGACTTTATATAGTCCTGACACTGTCAGCATCATTAAATAACAAACTTAAAAAAATAAAATAAAAAAACAGCATTGTTTAATGTTCAGTGGCAGTGTCTTTTTTTTTTCATATAGGAAGGCCACCCTTACTGTGCACATCAGAAACACCTGCTAGTAGCAGCCCTACTGATAAGACAATTACAGTATACTACATTTTGTCTAACTAAAATATCAAGCAATGATAGGTGACTGACAAATTTTATGAAGGGACCTAAAACTACAAACAACAGACTTAGCGTCAAGTAGCATTTAACATGCCAAAAGGCACACTTCCATCTTACACAACACAGGTTATTTTTAAAAAATTACACTCCTAAACTTAACATTTCAATGTTATTTACAACATACCAAACATATGGGAACTACATGTTTTGACTATGCCTAACCATCATTCAACCCCACAGTACAATCAAGTAGTTAGTTCATGTACATTATTATAAACAACCTTAAAATGTAAGTCTCTGGTTATTTTTAAATAATATCACTTATCACAGTGTGTATACCTAACAGCTAGGCATAACATATCACAACAGGATGCCTCAATATAGAATTATCCATCTACCATCTATCTATCTATGGCTCTACAGCCCTTTGTTGGGTCTTGGTCACTTTTCAGTTTCTTAACCCTAAACACAGTTGGTAGGACTCCTTGGACAGGGGATCAGCCCATGGCAAGGCCTCTGCCTATACACAAAAGAACACAAACACAGAATAAATGCAAACGGACATCACTGCTTCGAGCGGGATTCAAACCAACTCCAGCGTTCCAGCAGATGAAGACTGTTCATGCCTTAAAATGTGGCCACTGTGATCGGCTCAATATAGAATTACATACAGCATAGACTAATATTTAATGTCTGTTGAAACATAAAATTAAAACATACACCACAGTCTTTGTATTCCTTTCAACAATTATGTGAGAAAATGAAGTTTAATTAGTGAATAGCTATTTATTCTAATTCAAGCAAATCATTATTTCAAACTGAGTAATATGGGCATGCATGTTCATGTCATGCATAGGAAAATGAGAACAATAATATGACTCTGCATGTTACACTCCTCTTTCAGCATCTTTTTGCGACCAACATAAACGATTTAATCAAAAACATCTTACTTCCTGTATGTTATAAAAAAAAAAAATAAAAAAAATTTATATTACTTTAACCCATACGCTGTGAATTACTTCACACAGTCCACCTGCAGTTGTGCACAGCAGTTTGAAAACACTGGAACAAAGTTGGATCTGAGGTACTCACAGTACTGACTAAGTACTCATTAATGTAATAGAAATTCTGATTCTTTCTTTAAGGCATTTATATTTTATCACAAGTATAACATTTCTCTTCATCATATCCTACCTCATTGGCACCACTGAACAAAGGTTCCCCAGTGTGCATTTCCACCAGAATACATCCTAGACTCCACATGTCAATGGCTAGGTCATATGGGATGCCCAGAAGAACTTCAGGTGATCGGTAGAACCTTGATTGGATGTACTGGTATATCTAAATAAAGAAATTGCCTTCTAAATATCCACATATCATTCTATTCCAAAATCAAAGTTGCGTAGGAAAGAGTCAAAGAAATCAGCCTGGTCTTATCCAACATTTACTTGCCACATGGTTTACATGCTTACAGTACAAGTTTTGAGGAATTGAAATATGCATCAATGTCTTTTCCAGTCGAAAGCTTGTGTTGGTCATAGGTTACGACAGATGCTTGGTTCACACAGACTTAACCCTCTCACAACTCCATTTAGACAGGATATAATTCCATATGATAACCACAATTTCAAAAAATAAATAAATAAATAAAAAATAAAATGACTTAATGCTATGCCAATGTTGGTATGGTATAAACAGAAAGGAACACTGTCCTATTCATCTATCTATAATATGGGGCAGCTCAACAAGTACTGGCTGTACAAACAAATATCCAGAGAAATTAACAAAGGAAAGGTGGTGTTCAGTGACAATGAGCATTAAGTATGTAACCTCATCTGACTATATCACTGTCTCAGCCGCAATACACAGCATTCAAAGTTTGTAACGGGGAATATCCATCGTAAAATTTATATTTTTCTTAACATAACTACCTGTCTATTTAAAAATATATCTACCCATCTGTCTGTCAGTCTATCTAACAAGGCTACATTGTACTCCATCCACCTATTAGTTGCAACCCACAGTCTTGTAGTTTGTGATTCCTAACACACACTATTATTATATTTTGTTATTAATAAAGTTATTATCAGAGGGAAAAATCTGTCTTGTCTGTCAGTCAGTCCATTCATTTATCCACCAGCCACTTAACCAAGCCTACCCATCCATTCATCCATCAATCTATCAAATCAATGATTAAATTAACTCTTCAATAGACGCCACTTGGAAACACAAAGGAAAAATGCATACTTTTAAGTGCCATGTACATAGGAGCTTTCAACATGTTATACTAGCAGTGACTTAAACAATTCCCTGCAGTAAGCAGATACTATTTTTATGGAGTTTCCTGCTCAAAGTACTTATTAGCAGATTATAATAACATGATTAATATTTGTAGTGATATTTCTGAACTTACCCTCTGTCCCAGTTGACATGAACTACCAAAATCAACAATTTTGATAGCTGATCTCTTGGGATTGCATAAGAGAATATTTTCTGGCTTGAGGTCACAATGAATAATGTTGAGCTCAGGCGTGGACAGGAACAGCAAGGCCGTGCATAGCTGCTGTGCAAACTTGCGTGTCAGGTTCAGAGACACGCCCCGAAAGTTGGTGTTGCGCAGCAAGTCATACAAATTGTATGACAGCAGTTCGAAGACTAGACACAGATGATTGCGCCACATGAAGTGTCGCTTCAGTTTCACTAGAACACAAAATAACAAACTCATACATTGTCCTTGATAAAATGTATCTATAGGTTTCTTTAGGCTTCCCAGCTTCCTCATTTTTCTCTCATATGTTTCAGAGATTTTACTAGTATCAGCATTTATATAAATTAAATACTAAGCCCTCTTGTGGGATTAAACAGAACTCTGCTCTCTTCCATATTCTGCATAACATACTGTAACATGTTTGAAGTAGATACTTCCATGGTAACGTAATAACAGTGGGCCATTGCATAGGAATTGCAGAACCAACGAAGCAGCGTTTCCCCAGAGATGAACAACGTTGAGTAAGAACAGATGAGACGAAACTCGTTACCAGTGTATAAAGAGCATTCCTGAAGCAACAGATTGCCAAACACGCAAAATCAAACCTTGGCGAGGGGTGTCCTCTAATGAGTCCGTAGAACACCTATATAAGCCGAGAGCTACAGACAGCAACAAGACAGTTGAAAGATAGCCGCCACAGAATACAGTTGAAGTGATAACAATTGTAAGGTGTGTAAGATTGAGTGTCAAATAAAGATTCGCTGAATCTGAGACCCATGTGAAGTTATTTGTCGCATGACATACCCAACACGGGACAACTGGTGTCAGAAGTGGGATCAGTTAGGATTCTGAGACTAATTTAAAAGATTGGACTTACACACGAGCTAGAATGGACTCACAGCAGATGATGGAACTCCTGCTGAAGGAGATGAAGACAGGCCACAAACAAACTACTAGCCAAACTGGAGGATGACAGACAGGCCGAAATGAAAGCATGGCGAGAGGAGATGGCCACCATGACAGACAAATGGGGGAACGACAACCACGATGAGATGCTGGCCTGCCAAGAAATGGAGGCACATCAAGATGAGAAGCCGACCTCACTGGACAGGAAACTTGAGGGATAACAAAAACGAGAGGTACCTGTAGTAGATGCCGAAGTAATGCCAGTCGGAGAACCAAAGAAGAAAAGGCGCATGGACCGAAAACTGGCCGCGGAGTGCCGCTGCCAGAAAGCAAAGGATTTGACACGGGGAAATTGTAAACCCCAGAAGAAATTGGTTGTTGCCCACAGAGGGATGAGCCACCATGCAACAGTAGCATGGCAAAAGCAGGAAAACGACAAGAAGATGTCCCATCGCACAGCAGTGGCACGACACAAGAGAGACATCATAAAGTCATACATTACCCAGGAAAAGTGTCACCCACGGAGAGAACTGGTCGCTTCTAGAACTAGGATGGCCCACCATGCAAGAGTGGCACGGGGCAAGGATAATGCCGTCGGCAAAGTTCATGCCAGGGACAATGTGGTACGAGGAACACAGAAATTATGGACGCTCGGAAGAGACAACGGGCGCAATCACAATGTAACAAGAGGAACAAGAATCGAGCCCTATAGAAAAATTACCATACAGGGGACCATGAAGCGAATTACCAAATTTCTGGTCCCACCACAAAACGTCAAGAATTGGACACTGTGGAGGGGTCGACCCCCTCCAAAACGAAAAAAAGGAAAAGATCTGTATGGGAGGAACTGGTAGTAGAAACATCGGCCTCTCTAGCAAGAGCGAATGAAGAATGAAAGTGAAGAATGAGTGTGAGACAATGGGGCCGACAACCACTGGACCTTGGAAGTGCTCAGGGCGAGCACTCTGGAAGAAGGGGGGCGGATGGAAGGAAGGCAAAACGCCAAAGAAAAGGCGGAGGTAACATGTGGAAGATGAACACCTTAGGAAATGAAACCAAGGATGCGCCTTTAGGCTGTTCGGGATGAACAACCTTTAGACGGGAGCAATGTAACGTGTCCGGAGTAGATACTTCCATGGTAATGCAATAACAGTGGGCCGCTGTGTAGGAATTGCAGAAACAACGAACGCGTTTCCCCAGAAATCCCATAAAGGATGCTCATCCCGTATTCTGTATTGAGGGGGTGGGTTTCCCCATGCACTTAGACCGGTTAGTGGTCCATTGTGTGTCCCCCTTTAATTTCTACTGTCTCCATACCCTACCGGTACTGGTGCTTACTATCAGCCCCTTTCTGCCAGCAAGGTTCCAACCTCCTCTGGCAGTGGTATCTAATAGTTAGTCCCTTTCTGTCAGAGAGGTCCCCCCCTCCTCTGGCAGTGGTACCTCTAATACTTCTCCCATCTACCGGAGGAATTGGAAACTACTTGGGCGGGAAATGTTGCCTAATTTTGCTCAGAGGTCTCCTAGAGACATGAGGTTCTTTTACGTGCTGTAAATCTACGACACAGAATCCACGGCTTAAAGCCCCCCCGGAGGACTTTTTCCCTGAATTTTTCCGGCCTTAAAAATTCCACAACCTCCGCCGGGTTTTTGAACCCGCGTACTACGAGTCATGAGGTGGGAACGTTACCTCTAGACTACGGAGGCCGCTAAAGGATGCTCATACTTTGCACACTTCAAGGTGAACTTTGTAGAATTAGGTTTATTAATAGCTTCTCTTCTGAATCATTGGACAGTCTAGGGAAATGTACTTTAATTGTTGAAACATTAATTTACATTCAACCCAATAGGGCCATGCCATTGTAACGACAAGATATATTACATCACTTGTTCTTCACTGTTAGAGCTTAGATTCTTGCAGATGTGAAGGGTAAAAAAGGATCTGAAACTCGAAATAATCTCTGAAACAACTTAATGAATAGTGGGTTAAACACAATTTTTCTACAGTTATGATAAAACCAGTTTTAAAGTGTAATATTTTCCATGGTACTTATTACATTTCAATAATGAAACATTTCCATCTGCATTTTACCCATGTGTTAATGAAACATATGAATAAAAATACGTTACAGTGAGATTGAAATGGTGCTGGTTTGGAGCATGTGTGTTTACTACTGATGCTGTGCTGCATGTTGTGTGCAATGAACTATTGATTATCCACAGTAATGGAGGGGAAAAGAATCATGCATGATTATAAAAATACAAAACCCCAAAATCTGGAAACATCCATTATCCATGCTGCATTCAATCCTGAAAATTGTTTTATTGTTATTACTGGTGGTGCTTCTGGTCAATAAACAACCAGAGAAATATCTTTAAAGAAAGAAACTTTTACTCAGTGATATGTCTGTGCAAAAAGCAGTAATAAAATAGAAAGCTGCAACACAGTAAGAAGACGCATACCTGCAATCTACTGCAAATCACTGTAAAGCATACCCCATATGGGCAACACTTCAATCATTACAGGAAGCTATAATCAATAAGAAATGAGTTCCTAAACGTTCTCCAGTTAATCCAAAAAAAAGATAATGGGCACATGGAAAATTAAGTCTACTGTATGTGGAATACTGGCACGAAGATATTTGATATCAAGATTTTGCCATTTACAACTTTTAGATTATCACAGAAACAGTGAAGCTGTCCTTGTAATTAATTAATTAAGCATCATGCCATGAAAACGTATTGTGGAGTGGAGATATAGCTCCACCATTCTTGACCTTGGCAGTGGGTGGAGATGAGTGGCCAGCTTCATGCCTCCACGAGGGAAAGTTCCCCCAGTACCCATTGCACAGTAGGCTGGGTGAGCCCCAGAGCTAGTCTGGATAGAGTGGAGCAGAAAAAAAAAATTGTCCCTCCTGGGAATCGAAACGCAGCTGTTCAGCCCATACCCCGTTGCTATATCAACTGAGCTACTCCAGGTTCCAGATCATCACACTGTTCTGCTAAATTAGTGGATCGGTAATTAATCAACTGCACAATACATCAACAATTTTATCAAATGAAAGTGAAGTTAACAAGCATACTAAGCAAGGACATATCAACATTAGCACAACCACTGATCAAAAAAATATGGCAGTGCTAATAACGAGGAGGGTGGGGGCTGTTTTCTTCATATTACTGGGATGAGTACAAACACTAAACACCGGTCTTCAGCCTGACCAAACTTGTAAACAAGCAACACATACTGGAACACAAAAAAACTCACAATAGACAAGTATATGTATACTTATTGGTTCAAATGTGCAGTATATGTTTCATTTTTGACATGTAACTGGTATAGGGATGACCATCCAAGTACTGATGATGGTTCCCTGAACGGTTAACGGTATAAAATAACATTATTTTAAAGTGCAGATGAAATTCTTCATTAATGAAAAAAAATCAGTTGTATGTAACACCAAGCACAGCTGAAGTAAAACACCAATAATTTCATAGTAATGATAGATTGTTATATCTAATCCTTTCATGCAATTTAACACACTATTATGAAAATTCCTTCCTTAGAAGCTCATAAACAACGAGCTTCCCATTACCTCTAACAATTTCAGTGCCCCATTCATATTTTAAGCAACAGCCCTTTCTTTCTTTGCAGCAAAATATTTTGAAGAACAAGATGTATAACCATGAAAAATTAAAATATGAAGAACATAATTACACATGGAAATGAGAAAGCACTTAAGGGATTACATCATGCAGGGAGCCATACCCTTCTGCATTCTTCATATTTTATTTTAGCAAAAACGTTCAGTTTCCAACTCAGACATTCTAATGCACAACTGTTAAAATAGAATTCATGTCTGTTAATGAGAAAATAACAAACACAAACCACAGAGAAAAATAAGAAAATGTCCTAAAATCTTATCAACATGAACACAGATACCCGAGCACAAAGGTATGCAGCCCTTCAAATACAGAAAAAAAAAATATGTTTCAGACACACTTCAGACACACTCATGCCGTGTTTCCAATTGGAGAATTCATTATGGTGGTTTACATATAAGGTATTATATGAGGGGGGTCTATTCCTGCTGCAAAATTTGCTGAAACTGAAAGGAAATGGAAACAATTAAAACTGAGCATGTGTCACTGATGATGAATGAGCAGGTAACCCATTCAAATCAACTACTGAATGGAACACTGAAAAAGTCTACATTGTGACATGACTCTGAAAGTCAGAATAGTTCACTGCTAGGCAACGGCTCAGTAAACACATTACCGTGGAATCAAACACAAGCAACAACAGAAGAGCAGTGTTTTCTGTGGACAGCGCCGCACTCATTGCTATGCAACAGTGCAGTAAACACATCTCTGCAGCAGTAAATCAACACACAACAATACAGGAAGCGGTGTTTCTGTGGGGATGCCCCAAGGCTATATAACAAGGATCTTAGGCGGCTAGAATTAGAACTGAGTCGAGTTCCAAGTAAGCAGTTAGTCGAGAGTTGAGCTTTGTGAAGATGACTGAGAAGAGACAACACCTGAGAATTTGTTAAGTTTTAAGATGCCAGCCTGCCTGAATATGAGCTTGGGAGCACAGGAGTTGAATGACTGACTCTGAAGAGAAGACTTTGTGTGTGTGTGCTGTAGTACAGTGATGTCTGCAGTGTGTAAGCCAATGAGACTGTTAAAGTTCCTGTTTTAAAATCCATTGCCAGGATGTGAACAGTGGAGACTGTAATAGATTGTGGACACCAGTGGATGTAACAGTGAATTGTAAAGTGTGGAAATCAGTGATAGCACTGTAACTGCCTGTAGTTGTAAGTGGTGTGTATAAGGCATCAATAAATCCAATCCATACCCCATCTAACAGACACATCTCTAACACATGACAATATGTTAATTCCTGACACCAAGAGGGTGACCATTCATTAAGTGGCAAACCAAATGTGGATCAGTTGTTCATCTACCTAATTATCTTTTACAGACTACACTTCTGTAAAGTTTCTGCAAGATGGGCTCAAAACAACTTATAGAACAGCACAGCCATACTGTTTGACTCCTGTAACTGTCTTTTTTGAGCTGGTATCACGAAGGTGATATCCTCTTGACCTGAACTATCACTGGTGATGAAATGTGGATCCATCACAGGTAAGAGAGCAAATATTAGAACAAATGAAAACACCCAACATCGTGTCAGAGATGAGTTCAAATTTCAACCAAAAGTCGAAAAAATCATGCTCATGCTGCTCTGAGACTCATGGAGACCAATTCTTTAGCATTATCAAGAACAGGTGTTATGAGCCTGTGATTTAAAGTATATGGTGAACACAACTGACAAAAAGAGGTGTGCTGTTGTATGACACTGCCTATTCCTGTACTGCTGCCAATAATGTCAAAATAATGCAGCACCTATATACTGAGACTATAAAATATCCACCACATAGCCCTGAACTTGTTCTCCCAGCTTTACAACTATGTGGACCATAAGTTGAAGGGGGCAATGCAAATGTGGCTTGCCATCTAGCAGAAAGAATGCTTTTCTAATGGCACAGACAAACTTGTGGAACACTGGACCAAACATATGGAAGAGCTGGGTGATTATGTTGAGAAATCATGCATTTCGTTGTTTTGTTAATTCTTAAATATACCTTCGATGTGTTCTGCAAGGCGTTCATGCATTAAACGATAAGATGATTATAAAATTGAATAAAGAGAGATTATCGACATCAGAAATATAATTTATGAGAATTAATCAACAAATTTATACATAATTACTAAACTAAATGGAAACAGTATAAAAGTTTGGAAAACTACAGAATACTGAAAGGGATTAGAGAATGTAATACAAGGAAGACCTCTATAGAAATAGCATGGAACAATAACTGGCCATTGGGCCTAACACCAGAGAGGAGGATGATGATTAGATGAGATGCATACTAGTGACTGACGAACAGATGACTAAGCACGAATGTCTGCAATTAAAAATAATGATATGCACTTGATTGAGGAAACTATATTCATGATCCACAATCAATTCTTAAAAATTAAAATGCTTATTCTTTACTGCTAGTGGGGTGGGACTAAGTCCCTTGTACTGCGGCCACTCCTGGCCTATTGTACCAGCCCCAGATGATAGGTGAGGGTGATTCTGGAGCAACTGGTGGAATGAAGATTGGCAGGGGAAACCGAAGTTCTCGGAGAAAACCTGCCCCAGAGCCACTTTGTCCACCACAAATCCCACTTGACCAGACCCGGGATCGAACCCGGGCTGCCGTGGTGGGAAGCCAGCTATGGCGCAGCCCTAAAATACTAATACCTGTACTTTGGAGATTTTTATTACACTCACGCTCCTAGTAGCTGTGTTTATAGCAAAACACATATTAAGTTATAATAATTTATAATCGTAACAGAGGCTGCATTGAAACTCTTGCTGGCTTCCCATCATTGGGGCCTGGGTTTCATCGCAGGTAAGGTCATGTGAGATTTGTGATGGACAGAGTGTCACTGGGGTAGGCCTTCTCCAAGCACTCTGCCTTCCTCTGCCAATTCTCATTCAACCAGTTGCTACACATTCATTCATTTATCATGCCATCATTGGCACTATATAGTCTCAACACTGACAGCATCGATGAACAGCTGAATTTTTGCATAGCTCCCATGTTACTATTTTCCATTTCCCTAAAATCCTATTTTAAAAAAATCTGTGTTTTGTTGAAAGACATATCACCACAGAAGATTTCAAGACCCTACAGTAACAGGCACTTGCACTGTTCGTCCTTCAAAAGTCAGCATGCCCACCATGTCAGTATTGTTTATAACGTATACATAAAAAATGTTTTGGACTCCTGCAATGTATTTTCATCCATTATGGATTTCATCAAAATTGTAAGCCCATGGTCAAATCACTGGACAGAAAAGACATAAAATGAGCACCAACATATCCTTGATTTGAGTCTGGATGGTAAATGGTTCATACACAGCCACAGCCTGAATGAGATATTCCATGTTTTTTTTTGCACTCCTTACAGGCAATAGCTAGGCCACAATCCTGAAATAGTCACAACCACTTTCACCCTCAGTCCTCACTACCACCATGTTTAATCATCCTGTCAACACAATCAAAGCCAAATAACCTCTGAAACTGGCACAGTGTCACTAAGCATCACAGAAATTAACCCATTATGGGCCACAGCAACAGTTGGCAAATAAAAATGTCTTCACGGCCTAGTGCACAGTATTATGACAGTAATACTCGTAGTATTTATGTATTTTTTGCAATTACTGACTATCTTTTCCAGTCTAGAAAACTGAGATTAACAACAGTGTGGATCCGTTGCACTGACCACGTGAAACCCTCTATCCACTAAAGTTGGCACTAACTTCGCCAACAAGCAGCGGCCACTCAGTCAGCATAGTTTGCTTGCAGACTACAGGCCATGGAGTTCTTTTACTGGCCTTCTTAGAACATTCTGAACTTATTTTACAAGAAGTTCTGTCACAGTATCTTGATTTATGATGAAGAGTCATGAACAAATTATTAACACTCCAACTGCCATGCCTTGCCACAGACACCAAGGCTGCTTGGGGGTAAATTAAATTGCATGCATATACCTACAATACTTCTGCGGACTACCCCTCAAACAACCACAGATTCAGATAGCAAGAAAGAATGTTCTTTCCTCTAACATTGGTGTATAACACTTCATGCCATATACCGACAGAAATGCTCTACTATGCTATTAACACCAAGCAGATCTCTTCAACTCTGGAAGTTTCAATGCAAGTATGCTAAGCAGACTCAAGATATGTAAAAGGTTAATGTAACAACTCACTGCATAAATTTCTTAATTTGATTTTAAATGAGTGGGAACTGGTGAGTTCAACTTCATACAATTCATGAGTTCAAGTACAGCTATCAAGTTCTGTGAAGTTCCAAAGTGCACTGTTCTATGGCTGCTTCTTGAAAATAATTAACTGTTTATATCTGACAGGATTTGGAGACACAGAAGTTTGTAGGCAACTGTGTTTGGAAACAGCAATGAATAAATCAAAACAAAAACTATTATATTTGGGCTCAAGAAAAACAACTGTGTCTAAATCACTTCCTGAGCCCATTTTTGTCAGTTTACTGAATCTTATAACATGTCACCTTGAAAATAATGGTACAATATCACAATATCTATAAACTAGCATGGAGGGTACATACATTACTGATATCCATAATCAGCAAAACATGAAAAATAACAGTGACAATAAATTTCATTTTAAATACTTCAAATGTTTCAAGGATATGACTAACATACAGTATTGTGCCTCTTTGCTCTGTGCTGCACTTGTATCCTGCAGATAAATACATTCAATTTCGTTACAGAATGATAACAGAGACAGCGCACACTGAAAAGGTAGAAAATGAGCTTGCACAGATGGCGAGCAAACCAGAAATAGGTCTATAATCCAAACTTAAAAATTGGTACGTTCGACTTCAAATTTACAACTTGGCAGAAGCAAGTACATGAACATACAGAGTATTTAATCTACTGAACTGCGAGGAAAGAAAGAGTTATGCTACACATATAGATAAAGGCCCCAGTAAAACTAGCATCAAAACATAGAAACACTGAACACTTACTTGCAGCTAGCACTAAAACATATCGATATTAACCATTTATTTACAACACAAACCTTGCCAGCAGACATAATATCCAGTGGTTTCCAGGCTTTATATAATTGTTCCCTTCTCAGCAAATAAAAACTATGGATCATTCTCAAAATTATTATTCAAAGGTCTTGATTTAGGGGTTCAACATGAATATATACATCAAAACTGGGCTAAATTTTTTAACATAAGCCTTTTTAACATTCTCATCCCATAGTCTGGAAAACACTACTATCCAGTTACCTAGCTCTTTAAAAATCAACGATGCTATTCCTGCATTCTCCTGACAAGTCTTGAATACAGATTAAAATTTTAGCTTTCTACTTTCATAAGAAGCCTCTTGGCATTCATATTTTAATATATTTCCATAACATCATAATTATCACTAAATTATCTTACCAGACTGTATCCTCTCAACTGAATTGAAACATAAATATTGATATATAAACGCAAGTGAATCAATGAGGCTAGGCTAGTCGGAAACATGGTTACGCACCTATTTTGTCTTTACCTATGTAATACTTGTTGTCGGCGTCCGCCTTGTTCATCATTTCCAGCAGCTTCACCTCAATCTGGGCCTGGTTCAAGAATGGCTTCTTGTTTTTGATGATCTTGATAGCCACTTGGCACTGGTCTTCATGGTCAAATGCCTTAACCACCTGCAAGTCAGTAAGATTCCATGGAATTAATCTGGCATCAAAGTTAAGACAGGGGTTTGGGGGAAGCCACGTGCTGGTAATTCAGTTCTTTACTACTGATCTCAAATGATACAAGAAGAATAATTCATGAATTACTTTCATTTATATGAGACATTAGACCACCTCTGTGGTCTAGTGGTCAGTGTTCCTTGCTATAGATCCAGGGGTCCCAGGCTCGATTCCCGGTGCTACCAGATTTTCTGAGTAGTAGTGGGTCTGACACGGGTTCCACTCAGCCTTGTGAGGACAATTCAGGAGCTACTGCAAGGAAATAGCAGCTCCGATCTAGGAAACCGAGATTAACAGACATGGGGATCCATTGTGCTGACTACGTGACACCCTCTATCCACGAAGTGGTAACTAACTTCGCCGACAAGCGGTGGTCGCTCGGTCGGTATAATGGAGTTTCTTTTATATGGGACATTTGGAAGCAGGGCAGCTCAGCCAGTATAGTGCCTAGACTATAGGCTGGAAGACTGAGGTATTGGCATTTGATTCTTGAAGGAGTGAAGAGATTCTTATCCTCTCCCCACCATCCATAGCAGTTCTGAAGTCTACTCACCTTCCTATACAGTGGGTACTGCTAGGGCCTGTTTCACCAGGGGTAAAATGGAAGATGCATGAAGCTGACCACTCACCTTCCATCTAATGCCATGCTTAAGAATGATGGCACGAGTTATGACAGTATGTTGCACTGAACCAATGCATGTGAAATTGTTCATACTTACCAAAATGTAACATATCACCTCAGTTTTAAATAAAATGTCATTCTGATATTAATATGGTCATTGTATGCATGTTTCAGAGTTTTATTGCTCTATACAAACTACTTTGTATGTAAGGTGTCCTGGTGGTCTTGGCACAAGATCTTACTCTCATTCAGAGTTCTGGGTTTCATTCCTGGCTAGATGTGTATGCAGAATTTTCTGCTCACAGACAGGCACCTTCACCTCTACTAAAATCAAAATTTTTTAGAGTGATTCCCGTGAAGAGCCTAACATTCAGGATAACAGATTCTGCCTTATGTATGTGCCCCACCTCAGAAATGAATTCTATGAATTACATATGTGACAGAGAACACAAAGGTCAACATTAAACACAGACAGATGCACTAGAAATAATATTTTGAAATCTGTGATATTTTTAAGTTAGCAACGCTCTAATCTATCAACACATCTAATCTAATGCAACACATGTGTGGCTACAAGAAGTAATGGAAGGCCTGAAAATTATATTACAATGATTCTCCTATTCCCATGTAAATTTAATCCCCAAAACAACACACTTGTTTATGTACAGTTTGAAGTTCTCACAGCAGTATCTTCTTGGATATATTGTGGTGTAGTCCACTGAAAGCCAACTGATGTTTCAGTGCCTCCATATTCACTGTTCAAGACAGCTAAGCAGGCAACAAGCCTGAAGCAGGCTTGTTGCCTGTTTCACCATGGAAGTGACAGAGAGTGAACTTCATTCTAGCAACATGAACAAGGAGGATTGTTTCTTCCAAACCAAGATATTAAAGCCTCTCATCTTTGTTTGTCTAACCCAGTCTTCATAAGAACTCCCTGAAGCTGCTGCTCCTTTTCTTCTTTCCCTCACTTTTCTTTAACCTCATTCATCATTTACATTTCTAACTTGTTTCCTTATCAGAAATTGCTAACCCCCCCCCGCCAAATCAATGTTATACTCTCCCGCTGGACTGCTCAGAACCCTGTCACAATACTCTCTATCTCCCATACTTACCTGCCAACCACATGATATCACATCCCAGAAGATCATAATCTTAACAGTCATGGCTGCGAGAACTCAGGAAGTATCATGCTTTTATACATCACAATCAAATTAATCTCACCCAACAAATTATAAAATACACAATACATAACATATAAGTATATCTTGTTTATTACTTATGTTGATTATGTGTTTACAAAACCCAAACATGCTGCAATCATATAAAACCATTACTAGTGGGGGGGGGGGGGTTTTTAAAAAAAAA